ATTTAAAGAACTTTAAAAAATTTAATTCCGTGGGCTGGGATCGGAGGCTGGGGGGCTGGGGCTGGAGCTGGAGCTGGACATTTAAATTTTTAAAATTCTTTAAATTCTTTAAATTTTTAATTCCGGACGATTTCAAAATTTAAAGAATTTAAAAGATTTACACCCTTTAAATTTTTTAAATTCTTTAAATTTTTAATTCCGGACGATTTCAGAATTTAAAGGATTTACCCCCTTTAAATTTTTTAAATTCTTTAAATTTTTAATTCCGGACGATTTCAGAATTTAAAGAATTTAAAGAATTTAAAAAATTTAATCCCGTGGGCTGGGGTCGAAGGCTGGGGGGCTGGGGCTGGAGCTGGAGATTTCAATTTTTTAAATTCTTTAAATTCTTTAAATTCTTTAAATTCTTTAAATTTTTAATTCCGGACGATTTCAAAATTTAAAGAATTTAAAGGATTTACCCCCTTTAAATTTTTTAAATTCTTTAAATTTTTAATTCCGGACGATTTCAGAATTTAAAGGATTTACCCCCTTTAAATTTTTTAAATTCTTTAAATTTTTAATTCCGGACGATTTCAAAATTTAAAGGATTTACCCCCTTTAAATTTTTTAGATTCTTTAAATTTTTAATTCCGGACGATTTCAGAATTTAAAGAATTTAAAGAATTTGAAAAATTTAATCCCGTGGGCTGGGGTCGAAGGCTGGGGGGCTGGGGCTGGAGCTGGAGATTTAAATTTTTTTAAATTCTTTAAATTCTTTAAATTCTTTAAATTTTTAATTCCGGACGATTTCAAAATTTAAAGAATTTAAAGGATTTACCCCCTTTAATTTTTTTAAATTCTTTAAATTTTTAATTCCGGACGATTTCAGAATTTACAGGATTTACCCCCTTTAAATTTTTTAAATTCTTTAAATTTTTAATTCCGGACGATTTCAAAATTTAAAGGATTTACCCCCTTTAAATTTTTTAAATTCTTTAAATTTTTAATTGCGTATATACACAGTATATATTAAGACACAGAGCAAGCCCTACGCCAAATAGGACCTAAAGGTCCTACGTACAAACCCCTAAACTGTTACAGGCTTACTCTGCTAGATCCTTTCTAGCAGCCTTATTGCAGCCTTATAGGTCCCTTTAAAGGAAGCCCCAAACGTTAAATCATAAGCCCTACAGATCCTTATTCGAGCACCCCTGTAGTTATAGCTCACCGTAAACGGAACCCTGAATCCCTAAAGATCCCTGTAAAGGAACCCCTAAACCCTAACCCTAACAGGCCTACCAGCTCTTCTTGCTGCACGACCCCAGAGCCGCAGACATTTGGCCCGGCGAACTCAAGACCTTGCGACAGGCAAGGCTTTCTGTACTCGGTTTAGGGTTAGGGTTTAGGGGTTTAGGGTTTAGGAGTTTAGGGTTTAGGGGCTTAGGGTTTAGCGGTTTAGGGTTTAGGGGCTAGGGTTTAGGAGTTTAGGGTTTAGGAGTTTAGGGTTTAGGATTTTAGGGTTTAGGGGCTTAGGGTTTAGGGGCTTAGGGTTTAGGGTTTAGGGTTTCAGGGGTTTAGGGTTTCCGGGGTTCGGGTTTCAGGGTTTCGGGTTTCAGGGTTTCGGGTTTCAGGGGTTAGGGCTTGAGGGGTTAGGGCTTCAGGGTTTAGGGCTTCAGGGTTTCGGGTTTCAGGGTTTCGGGTTTCAGGGGTTAGGGCTTCAGGGTTTCGGGTTTCAGGGTTTAGGGTTTCAGGGTTTAGGGTTTCAGGGTTTAGGGCTTCAGGGTTTAGGGTTTCAGGGTTTAGGGCTTCAGGGTTTAGGGTTTCAGGGGTTCGGGCTTCAGGGTTCAGGGTTTCAGGGTTTAGGGTTTTTAGGGTTTCGTGTTTTAAGGTTTGGGGTTAGGAGTTAGGGGTTTGAGAGAACATTCGAACCGTCTGTTTCAAACTCTGCTCCATAGGGTTATTCAACGGACACCATCCCACGGCATGCTAAATACCTTCGACGAAAAGGGGGTCGGAATCGGTCGCAACAATTATCGATACTAGGCCTTAATGTTCCTTATTGTAATTATACTGCATTATGCAACTCATAGTGTAACATACCCCCCAAAATCTATTCTGCTTCCAAATATTAAGACCCCAACTCTGAACCTGAAACGTTAAACCCCAAGCGCTAGATAAACCTGAAACGGTAAGCCCTTACTCCTAAACCTGAAAAAGTTACACCCTTAAGCCCTCACCTCAAGCCCTCAACCAGACGATATAGGAGTTCCAGCTCAGTCTTCAGGATTTAGGGTTTAGGCCTTCAGGGCGTATGTCTACCTAAATGTATATAGGCATTCAGGGTTTAGGATTAGGGTTTAGGGCTTAGGGTGCAGGGTTTCGGGGACTAGGGCTAGGGCTTGTAGCATTGTAGCCCCACTGAAAGACAGTCTGCAGCAAGACTGCCGGCCTTGTACGTTGCCTAAGTGGAGCGTCATATACGGGTTTGAGCAAAGCAAGGTTTTATGCAGGTCAGGGTGATTCCGAGGTTTTGTTGGGAATGGTATCCGCTCGTGATCCCTGTAGAATGATACTTTGATATACCTCGATACCCTGTTCGAGTAAGCGGTGTTTGTTCCGCTGCTTTTTTGGCTCAAGCCCGTGGGTTGGCAGATGATAACATTGAACTTCTCGGTGCACCTGGTCGCGTCGCGACGTTGGGCGGTGCATTGCCTGTGCCATTCTCAACCAAGCCAGGGCACGCTGAGCATACCAGCAACCATCAAGACCAGCATCACGCATGGTCGTTTCTCAGCACCGGAAGACACCTAAACCTAAACCTGCAAGGTCTGTTTAAAAACAGGCGGGTCCAGGGACGGATCTAGGGGCAAAAGGGCTCAGAGTTAGGCTGACCCTCGACTACCATAATTAACAAACCTTGTGTCGTAGGTTATAAACTCCCTTCTATCAAAACCACCCGGAAATAGGTTGCGGTCCTTCAAGGTAGGGGCTTGGGGGATCCTTGCAAGAGCTCCGTGTCCCAGCACTTTCGAAGCCATGGAAGCCTTCGTCTGCAGCGGCTGCGGCTTCACGAGCTTCTCGAAGATGCTCTTTCAGGACTCCCGAGCGAGTAGTAGTAGAAGTAGAAGTAGTAGTAGTCGTCGTAATCGTTGTCGTCGTAGTAGTGGTAGTGGTAGTGGTAGTGGTAGTGGTAGTGGTAGTGGTAGTGGTAGTGGTAGTGGTAGTGGTAGTGGTAGTGTAAGTAATCTTTAATGTTTTGGAGTATACTTTAATTCCTGTACAGCTACTTGAGGGGTTTGTTGAAGGACCACCGCACTGAGTAAGTGGATTGCGGCTTGGGGTTTTGGGTTTGTATCTACAGCTTCATTGCTTTTTGTTTCTCGGGTGTTAGGGCCGCAAGCCAAAAATTCTGGCGATGTCCATAGGTTTTATTTCAAACATAGGTTTAAGTTTTGAAAACACATTTTTTTTAAACTTCGATGCGCTTTTCTAAACAACCGAGGCCCTGTTGAAACCTTGCTTGTAACCTGCTTACTATGTCGATCGACCCTCCAGCCAAGTACTTGCAGAGTGTAGGCCATCCCATCACAAGGGGCGCTTTTTCGTGATAGCAGTTGACAACCTGACACAAGGATGGCTGCACAAGGGCTAAGCCCCAAGAAACCTGATGTACATAAAGCATCATGGGATGCAGTAAGTGGAAGATCAGCAAACCAAAAACACCTAAACCTGGGATATCTTACCATGAGATGCTTGTACCGAATGACCTCAGTCACCCGAGCCTCCAAGTATGCCACCAGTTCTACACTTCTAAACCTTCTAGTTGTAGGACTGCGGTCTAGGGTCTAATTCGGGTTAAGGGTTTAGGGTTAGGGTTTTGGTTTAGTGTAGCTCTGGAACAGACAAGGAACCCTGAATCCTAAATCCGAAAGTCGCAAGAGTTTCAAATACCTCAAAGGAACCCTTGAAGGATAACCCTTAAAGGACCCCTCAAAGGAACCCTCAACTCAAGGGAGCCCTTAACGTACCCTCTAAGAGGTCGCTCCTAACTCAGCGAAACCCTGAAACCCGCCAACCCTCAAACCCTTGTAGATCCCTTAAAAGGAACCTAAACGGATCCTTTGAAAAAGCCCTAAACCCTAAACCCTCAAGAACAGGATAAATAGAAATTGCGTGAGTTTCTTGCAGAAGTATAGGTGCTGGCAGAGCAACTACGCATCATGTCACCCCCATTGAGCTTTCTAGCAGGGGGGTTCAAGGACGGAAGCTCTTAACGTTCTTTTTTCCCGAAGCCAGAAGCCCGGAAAGGGTGGAGGAAACAGCTCTCTGCCAGGATCATGACTGTTCAATGCATCTCGGCCGCAGAGGGAGAGAGCCAAGGTTGCCAGGGTGCAGGGTTTAGGGTTGAGGGGTTTAAGGGGTTTAGTGTTCAGGGGTTTGAAATTCAGGAGTTCAGAGTTTCGGGGCAGGGTTGAGGGTGTTGATTTTTGGTGCTTTGCGCTGTCTGCCTGCATCCTTCACCCCGAGAAAGGCCTCAAGCCTAGAATTCTGCACCCTAAACCCTTTGGTGCTGAGAGTTCCTTCGCCCTGCGGCCTTAAACCCCTCACTCTTCCGCAAACTTCGTTTTTCTAGAAGCACCCTTATAACAAGCCCGCAACACCCTTATACCCTAAACCCTGAACCCCAAACCGAAAACCCCAAACCCGAAGCAGAACAGTCTCCCGCACTTGTTTCCATGCCTTCCCTTCCAAACTCCTTTCCAAAACCTTACCTGCAAATCCCCAAAACTGGCCTTTTCGGAGCTATACCAGTTCCTATGGGGCCATGTCCTACTATTTTGTAAGGGTTGGGATTACATGTAAACCCTAAATACTAACCCTACCTAGACCCCAAAATACTTAACAATTTTTAAGGACAAATACAAGGAAATCATAAAAGGGAACCCTACATCATTAGGAAGGTTTATAGGTTCGGGTAGAGCCCCAGACGCAGAACCCAAAACCGCCGCCTGCAAAAGGACGAAAGATCCAGGAAGCCCGGGTCGCCTCTCTTGTACCGTGATCTCGTGGGAGCCTTAGGAGCAAAGTAGGAGTACTTGGAGGGGCAGGGGACTTAGTAAGTAATTAGGATATAAGTAGAGTTATAGGTACCCTAAATGGAGCAAAGTAGGAGTGGCTTATTGGGGTAATAAGAGTTACTCCCATGGCTGGATCGAGCTTCAGTCCTTGCTAAAGTAGGAGTAGGGTTTGCAGAGTTTGGCTTTAGGGTTAATGATTTCGGGTTAATGGTTTAGGGTTGATGGTTTAAAGGCTTGAGGGTCAAGGGTTTAGGGCTCATGGTCTAGGGTTTAGTTTTGTGTTTAATCACGGCGGTTTGTGAGCGTTTTTGGCCCTTTAGGAGGATCTTGTCGGGTTGTATGATGTGACTTTTGAAGTGCGTCTCGCGGCTTAGGGATTTAGATTCTCAGGGTTAGGGGTTGAGCATCCAGTTGCCCGATAAGAGGGTGCCGGGCTTTGAGTAGGATTGACCTGGAGGGCTGCGTTTAAGTTTTAGCCTTACGCTTTGGCATGCAGGATGTAGGATTTAAACTCTAAGTTTTTAGGCTTAGGGCTCAGTGTGACCGCGCCTCTCGGGGCTTGCAGAAGTTGAAGCCACATGCACAATACAGCAAGGTTTCACCGGCTACCGTGCATGCACTGTGACTGCGCCACGTTTATGAATGTTTCTCATATAGCATGAATCATAATTACACTTATGCTTTAATATAAAGCTTCGTTTGTTATGTCAACTGTATATTCATGCAGGTACATCAATATGGTCCATACGTTATGTAAATGTTTTCTTGACCCACATGCAGCCAGCACGCAATCACTAACGCAATATGCACCAAGTACACAGTGTGCGACGAACAGTCGACAAAAGACGTTGTATGGTGCTGTATTGTCCAGTCTCCTCAAGGCCCTAAGCACTAAATTTCTAATCGAAGTAAGCCGTGAATCCCAAGGTGGACAATGAGACCTTAGGAGATATGCACGGTTTAAAGTTCAGGATTTGACATGTCAATGGACTTTACTTAACGGATCATGGACTTAGTAACTAAGGTTGCAAGTAAGGAAGCTATACATGTAGCCCCAACTACTGTGCTCATAACCGTACTTCCTAAGTCCCATGACCCTCCAAGTAGGGCACAAGGGTCGTGTCGTTTCTGCCAGGCGGCTGCAAAGCTGAAACAGCGGACTTTGTCTACTTTGTCGGCCTTTTGGAACCTCATACCCGACGCTGATTTCTGACCTGGACCCCAGAAGTATGTGGAATAATCGCCTTGTTGTAGGTTTTGGGCCATTATTTTGTCTAAATACTTGGGGGGGGGTTCTAGGGAAGTGCTAGGCCCGGAACTGAAACCCTCAACCCTGCGCCTCCTTGTCTCCTGGTTCAACTTGATCAGGCCTCCACCGCCACCTGTCGACACCATCACCGACGATTCTCGGCTGGCACTAGAACATGATAGAACTCTCTGTGATGCAGAGTCATAGTATCTGTGAGCCTTCAGCTCCAGTCCCTCTTGAGCCCCAACACCGTGCAACGAGAAGCCTGTGCCTCCTCAATCCTCAGCCTCAAAAGCCTAAAGAGTGAATTTAGCACCGGAAGCCCTGGCTTGGGAGTTTCGGTTTCGCTTCTTCCGCTCTCAGGGCAGGGGGGGGGAATAGGTCAGTCGAGAGGCACATCTGAGTTTTTGTCGTCCACTCGGCTGGGGTTTAGGGTTCAGGCCCCCCCTCCCCCCCCACCATTTCAAAAGGCCACCCGAGCTTCTTCGCCGCCGAGCCGGCAAGTTTGATCCAATACCCTGTTGAGCTTAATGCTCAACCTACCACCGAAGCCTTAATAATGTAGAACCAGTTTGGGGGGTTCCTTACAATAACTATAGTATGATATAACCCAAAGCCTTATTCTAATTATTAAGGCTAAGGCTCTTTTATTAATTACTACTACTGTTGATGATAGAAATCCTGCATTACCCATAATAAGGAATATACCAAAATTCCCATAGTTTAGGGCCCTGAAGCTAATGCAGGATTTGTATCATCAACAGTACTCCGAAGGCCCCCTTACAACAGTATAGCTCCGAAGCCTTCAGGCGGTTTAGGATTGGTCACATGTAGATCCCCCAATCGGCTTGTCTTTGGGTTCTCATTCTGAAGAAATTTGCATATATGAAGGGTCTTGATTATCCACGTCCCGAAATGCTTTTGAGAATTCCTGGGTCGAGTTGCGCTGTCGCTGCCCTAGTCTTCCTTGGTCCTATCTGGGACTGTTTAGAGTGTGGGAGTCAGGGTGTTAGGTTTTCTGTTGGACGTCGGCAAACGACGCCTTGGGAGTTCTTTTGACCAGGCTGTCAACTCCTGCGCCTGGGCACAGAAAATTGCGGATGCACCTGTCGAGACCTCGTAGATCTGGATATGCATAATTCCTATATGGGAGTTTCCGAAAATAGGGGACCCTAATATAATACCATAAATAGTAGGATCCCTATTAATTATAAGGACCCGAAAATAAGGTACCCCTAATTTTCGGATGTTTCTTTATCCTTAGCCGAAGGTCCGAGCATCTAACTATCTTGTACTTCTCCAAATACGAACCCACAGTGCTACTGTCCTAGGCTCAAATAGCTAATGTCTGGGTCCCAAGGACCCTTCCTTAAAAAGTCTAAACCCTAAACCCTAGACCCCCAAAGCCTTAAAACCCCAGCAAACATCGCAGGATGTCATTCTGTCACCGACCTCTCCACAGAAGAGCGAGGCAGGTGGATGGGAAAGTAGTACCATTTTGCGATTTTCTATTTTAGGCCCCCTTTGTTTAAGCCAAATAGTAAGAAAAAGGCTAGCCTTGTTACAAAGGGGCTGCTCAGAAATCTACTTCAAAGATCCGAGGACCTCGCACGTGGGGTTTGTAAGCAAGGCAAGGTTTTGCAGGGTGGTAAAGCTTTCTGGGGGCTTCGTTCGGTCTTGAGAGGGAAGAAGGTTTAAGAGTCAGGGCACTTAGGAAGTCGGGCTTATAATTAAGGTATGTGTACTTGCAGTTGCTTATAAACCCCAAGTAAGGTATTTATAACCCACTTACTGAGTCCTCTGATCCTTCCTTGATCCTCCAAGTTGTTTCACGAGCCCTTATTTGGGGAACGCCCCTCGACTTGCAAAAGGCTGAGTCCCCAGGGTCCATATACACTACCATGATGAAGTGAGATACCGAAAGACTATCTCTATTATGGATTTGGGGGCCTCATTCCACAGTGGTAGTGTATATGACCGGTTCTCGGTTCGCTCCCCTCCGATGGCATCCCCCCACCCACCCGCTCCCCAAGCCGAATCTGTGTGACTGCGCACACTTTTTGAACATGAGAGCCCAAAACCGTCGTCTGTCACCAGGATCGCGTCCCAAACACGCCCGATCCGTGTGACTGTGGACACTTCCCAAACACAGACGACTCCGACATGAGGGTCTTAAACACGGCAGCTGTCACGAGGACCGCCTTCCCTGCCAGGGCCGATCCCTGTGACAGCTGGGTGGTTGTGAAAATTAGGATCCCTTTTTGGGTCCTTATTTTAATACGGCACCTAATATTTAAGGTTCCCAATAAGGGACCCTAATTTTGACAACCATTCAGCTGACAAATGGCAACCTTGTGGCAATTGCGCCCAAAGCGCAGACTGTGATGAAGATAGTGGCCCTACGATCAATAAAACGATAATCGTTCGCTAGGCACATGGGCAGAAGACACCCGACGACCAACCAAAGAAACAGCAAGATGTTTGAGCTAATGATGAAGATGGTGATCATCGTCCCCATCATTATCATTATCATCATAGGGATGAGTATACTATACCAAACACCCAAGCAGACCGAAAAACGCAGGGGGTAAAAGAAAACCCGAACCCAATCCATGCAACAGGGGGGGAGGGGGGAACCACAACAAGCAGACCCACCCGGGGGGTCGGCCGAACCAGGGTAATTTTGGGACCCTTTTGGCCTTCTGGGTCCGGAAAATGTGCCGGAAAGACCCTTAATTGTGTTTTCTGGGCCTCGGGACCCAAGTATCCAAACAGTACGTAATATAAGTGCCTTGAAAATTACCAACACTAAGGGGGTTCTAATGATTGAGGCCCCTGTATTATATACCCTAAACCTTGAAACCCTAAATCTTAAAATGAAGCTGCTCAGCAGCGCACGGCGTATGACTTGGAAACAGACTTGCCGCTGGCAGACCTTTTTCAGCCACAGGTCCATCTGCCACCTTTTGTGGGCGCGGCGTTCTGCGTTTGATCCTTCGCACGCAACTTTCACGTGCAACTTTTACGCATACCATCCATCGAACCTTGTAAACATTCGCCGAAGCGCGTCGGGTGCCATGATTGTGCTGGATTTACAAGCGACCAGAGCCGGATGGACACTTCGTGGGGGACGGGCATGCCGTCCCCGGTCTTTACACTGTCGTTCACCTCCGCTTAGCCTATATAATAGGAAACTGGACAGACAAGTAGATTAAGGTTTTAAACTTACTTACAAGCAGTGTGCAAAGGGACCCTGTAGCAGCAACCCCATAAACTCAGGTGCACAATCTGAACTCTGAACGTTTAGCCCTTATAGCACACACACACACAAATCCTATAAGAATCTAAAGCCAAGAAAGCCCTGTAACGCCTTAAACCCTATATCAACCTCTACATTATGGTCCTCCAGGTATACGGAGGCATCGGTGAGTTTGACGAAAGTGATCGCCCCTCGCGTTGCATCATTTCTGCAAGCACTCGCTTTGTAACAGTCTGGTGTAGTCTTTAAGGGTTTTGGGGTTTTGGAGTGCTTGGGTTTTTTGGGCTTTTGGCGTTTATTGTTTTGGGGCTTAGGGTTGAGGAAGTAGGGTTTATGAGGTATTTTACTGTTTCACAGGGCTTTCCGAGGGCTTTCAAAGGGCTTTTCGAGGGTTGTAGTGTAGTGTGTTATGAGAGGGTGTATCGAGTTTTTTGGTATCATGACGAACCATATGCAGGAGACCCTCCTCCGCGAAGGCCACCGTCGGCTGAGCTACATCGAGTTCGGCGTCATTGCGCAAGTCCGATCGTGCATGGGAGCGGAGTCCCGCCTGCCACCGTGGCAACCCAGCGTTTCAGGACGCGATTTTCGGTTTTCCTGATGTCAGCGACTCATGTGGAAGCGGTCCGATCGGGCTTCAGTGGCTTTCGGGACGAAGTCGCCGCGTTGTACGCTCGACGCACGCGGGGCAGTGCCGTGCACATGACACCCCTACAGCGTCGCAATGCACTCGTACAGTGCATGACACAGGTGGGAGTGCCGGCGGCAGTGCAACAGTCAGCTATCCTCAACGGAGAGGAGGCCGAGGTCATGTTAGAAGCAGCCGATCAGGCGGGCATGACCCTGGCCCGAATCTACGTGTGGCAGGTGCCAGGGGCAATCGGACGGTTTAAGCTACGAGAGCTAAGGTTGGTGCAGTTCGCACATCGAATGCTACGCTTCCTCTCTCTTGCGGTCATGGTCATGTAGTGATGATGATGATGATGATGATGGTCGTGAGTAACTGTGGCGCGGATGATGACGATCATTATCTGAACTTTACCCTACTTGGAGGATCATGGGACTTAGTAAGTAAGGTTTCAAGTACCCCAATTAGAGTTACAAGTAGCTATAGGTATAGTTACCTTAATTATAACCCTAGTTACTAAGTCTCATCATCCTTTAAGTACCCCTAAACCCTGCGCTGCCAAGTCTTGAACCCGGAAGATGCGCCCTTTCGTTGCATCTGCGGGTACACCTCCTTCTCGCAGCTGCTGTTCGAGGTGGGAGCGGTTTTGGGTTCAGGTTTCAGGGTGCAGGACTTATGGATTTGGAGTTTTGCATTTTGAGGTTCAGGGTTGAGGGTTCGGTGTTTAGAGTGGTTTGTGGTTCAGAGACCCTCCCTCCCTTCGGCATCAGATGTCAGGAAGTTCTTTCATTTTTGTTTCGACAGCCACATGATGCTTTCCAGGGGCCATGGTTTTTTTTTTCCAAGGTGCGGCCAACCCTTGTTTGCGAGGTGCGGCCAAGGGTCCCTGGTGCATGCGGTCCCCTAGTCCTCTGGTCCTTGGTCTTGTGGTCCCCTGGTCCTCTGCTCGCGGTCCCCTAGTCCTCTGGTCCTTGGTCCTGTGGTCCCCTGGTCCTCTGGTCTGCTGGTCCTCTGGTCCCGTGGTCTCCTGGTTCCCTGGTGCATGCGGTCCCGTAGTCCTCTGCCACAACCACAACCACAACCACGGGATAGGGGTTAAAAACAAATCAAATAAGAATCAAAAACATAAAATAAGGATCAAACAGAAATTAAATAAGGATCAAAAAATAAACAGGTATCCACGAAAGGAGGGGGGGGGTAACGGAGGAAGAAAGACAGAGAGAGAGAGAGAGAGAGATCAAAAAAGAAAGAAAGAAAGAAAGAAGGAAAGCAAGAGGGACAGAGAGAGAAAGAAAAAGAAAGAAAGAAAGAACGAAACAAAGAATGAGCGGAAGAAAGCAATAACGCAAGAAGAAAGAAATACACAAAAATAGTTATAAGGAAAGAAAGAAATCAAAAATAAACAAATAGACAAATAAAGAAAGCTATAAGGAAAGACAAAAGAAAACACAAGGAAAGGACGAAATAGAGTCAGAAACAAAGAAAAACAAACAATAAAGACATAACGAAATAACAAAAATGGAGAAAGAACGACGAAAGGACATAAATTAACTAAGATGTTGTTTTGTTCTATGTCATCTTCTGTTATATTGTATTGTCGTGTTTTGTTATGTTATTAGATGCTACATGAAGCAAGGTTCTGTTATATCAGATAATGTCACACTATTTTTGTCATGTCGAACCATCTTATGTCGTTCTTATGGTTTACTATGTTATATTATGTTATAGAGTGTTAACGGAAGAAGAGACACGAACAGGCACGGAAGAACGAAAGACCCACCGCCGCGCTTTTCGAGCTCCGCAAGCTTGATTCAAAGAGTGTTTTCGAAACCCATCATGTGAGCGTTGTGTCTGCAAATGGGGGGGGGCTGCGGCCCCCCCCCAACCCCGCGACTAGTCCCTACTACAACCGGAACCCCCATACCGCAACCAGAAGCCCGATACCGCAACTGGGCCTGGACTTTGCGCAGAACCCGGAACCACCATATCACAACCAGCCAACAAGCTTACATTTTGCATGGTTTCCAATCTGCTGGTGTACCATGGTGAACCTTTAAGGAAACACATTCATTCTTAGAAACAAGTCAGTTGCAGTAGGTACCGTTCCTCGCCTAGATGCTACGATCTACTAAATTATCATCACGAACAACTAAAGACTAATACCAACTGCTAACTTTTAGAGGTTTGATGTCAGGCAGTAGCGAACAGGCAAAAAACATTTTGACATACCCCCAGAAGCTTTAAACCTCTTAAAGTTAGCAGCTTACTACCGCGACTGCTTCAAACCTGCAAAACCCGGAAGTTTAACAGCTTCAATCCTGAAAAACCCAACAGTGTACTACCCCAGAAGTTTTAAACCAGTAAAACCGAAAGCTTACTAGATCTTCACTCTCATCGACATGGACAACAGGAATGGCGAAGGATGATCCGTCCTATCATGCTCTAGCCCATTCAAATGAAAGATTGTCATCGACATGGACAACAGGAAGGGCGAAGGATGATCCGTGCTATCATGCTTTAGCTCTTTCAAACGAAAGGAACTGGTGGCTATGACAAGGAACAGCTGCCTAAGCCCAAAAACGAAAACACTAAACCATTACCTAAAGCCCCAAAAACTCTGTGCCTGCCCTTTCGGGCAGCATCTCATGATTTTCTCACACTTGAGCCAATGTGCCGTCATGCACAGCACTGCTGTCGCCACTCCAGGCAACTTCTCGGTACTGCACTGTTGTCGCCACTAAAGGCGTGACTGCTGAACGGAAAAAGCAGGACATGTAACATGGACTGCCTACCAAAAACATGCAACCTACACGAACCTACGTGAAACTTGTAGTTACTGGGCTGCCCCGTAGCCCTTTTCACATTCTTGAATTTTCTTGTTTCGGGGTCTGCATCTTTTCTTGTTTGCCCAGTGGCGTCCTAGCACCTACAACTCAGCACTGCGGTCGCAAAAACATGTCTCGTGCATTCGCGCGCTGTGCATGCGTGTCAGAACGGAAGTAGAGAACATAGGAGTAAGTAATTTGTCAAACACAAAAGCTGCCAACGATGCGCTCATACCGATGCTCAGCCCCAAACACTAAGAGACAGGATAGAAACACCCCACAGGCATCAGCCTCCCTTCCGACATAACAAAACTGTGTCAGAAAAAAACAACACTTCATGCAAACTCGTGTCTGCAGGGATGTCTTTGGTCTTCATTTGACCATCACCCGGGTTCAGCTGCACAGCTCGAATCGTGTAGCTTCTGTATGTGTCCCAGGTGCACCGAACGCTTGGAAAAGCAGGCTTAGCTGCGAAGCGATGGTGTGCCTGGGATCAACTATCGTCACTTGGTTCACAGGGTCGGTTTCCCGCAAAACCGGGCGGCCGTCGGGAGAGCATTTGTAGATGATGCGCACGTTGAGAACAGAGCTTTCACGGGTCTCTGGCATGGCCAGGTCGCCAACATTCGCCTCCACCGGCAAGTGCTCAAGGGGCTCTCTACATGCTTCCGCCTGGGACGTCTTGGCGCGCAAGCGCTTCCGCGGTGCCAGCTGGTTCCTGGCTGGAGTCGGGTCTTCGTCCACCGCCACGACCGCAGCAACCTCACTTGCACTGACTTGGTTTCGCTCCATTTGCCGAACCTTGTTGCGCAGATGCGCAATCAACAAGTCCTTCTCGTCCGCTTTCAACGGAACACTGCCCCTTCCTGGAGCTTTTGGTTTGTTTCCACGAGCAGAGAGCTGCAATAGTGTGTCATCCAAGTTGTCTGGCAATGTGCAGCTGCCGTCATGGAGTTGCAAGGCCACTGTGTGCAGACAACGCTTCTCTGCAGGATAACTTGGACACGTGCAGAACAAGTCACCATTCGGATCTTGCCTTAAATGTGATGCGTTCCGAAACAAAAACTCCTTCAACCGTAAGTAAACGCCGCAATTAATTCGGGAACCCGGGACCACACCGTAACTTGAAACCGAATCCTGCAATAAAAAACGGTACTAAAAATGCTAATCCCGAAGGCCCAAAAATCCGATGCCCATCAGGGCCATTGAATCTTCGGAGCTGCTCCATGGTCGTTGGGTTTCCATCCACCTGCGAATTTTTTTACCACGTTACGAATTGGCGGTCCACGACATCAGGGTCCATGGTAATTATAGGGAAGACGGTTTAAGGTTGTGAGGTTCAGGGCGTTAGGACATTATCGCTACGTGCTAGAAAGGATGATCAAAGTCAGTAATCATTCGCGGGGGCTTTCATGAGCTAAGGTTTAAAAGGAGCGACTACAAAACCACAAACCCGACCTGTTCCAAGAAAGCTGCCGCCAAGGACTCTGCCCGTTTCAGCGGCAGGGGCGCACGCTTGCTTACATCATCAGCTGCATCTGCATCTCGGGGACAGCTGACAAAGAGCCTGCCAAGGGCATGCTACTACGGCACCTATTGATATCCCCTGACCCAACTACGGTACCTATTAATATACCCCGCCCAACAGGTTGTCAGGCCTCTGTGAGCGTTTCTGGTAACACCGCACTTTGTCCGTGTCGAACAGCGTCTGGAACTTCGCAGCTTTCAACCAGAGTCGAGCCGAGATTGGCCGATCGGCCGTAGCATTCCACTCGCCTCTTGAGGCAGTCTGCACTTGATCCAACATGAAATGCAGCAACTCGCCGACAGAGCAGGCGACTTGACCAGCATCCATGCGTGTCTGTTTGATCGTTGCTTCGGCGGCATTGTTCGTGCCCGGAACACCCGTTCCTCCTGTTGCACCGACGAACCACTCCGGAGTCGCCTCCAACCACTGCGTGCAGAAGTTGGACACGAGGTCGTAGGAGCGGCCCAGCTTGTCTGTCCAGCGGGTTTTCTTGTCAAGACCCTTTTGCAGCCACTCGGCTTTCAAAGCGGCTCCTCTTGAAGCGAAGTCCAGCTTGTTGCGCGCAGCACGGAGTAGATCTATGTCGTCGGACATCCACGTCCACGCTGCGTCTTTCTCCTTCTTGGTGCCTGGGAATGAAAGTCGTTGAACCGGACGTAGAACCAAACCGAAAAATCCGTAGACAACCTAATCTAAACATATCACCAGGCAAAACATGAACAAAGGCAGGCCCACGAACAAACAACCCGGAGTCCTTGGAAAACGCTACTTATGCTAATTGTCCTACCGTGACTACCGTGGCCTCGTCGCAGGAGACACAGTCAGTCAAGGCTACACATCCGCACCACGAAAGATGTCGTGTCACTTACGTTGGAAAGTGCCGTCAGCAACGCAGATCCCTGCCAAGTACAGCCTAGACTGCTATAAATGGCAAAACTGCCACACCACATACTGTAAAAGCCTTCCGTAGTCTGAAAAGCAAAGGAATCCGCTTGACTCTCGCAAACAAGCATGCCGTAAACAAGCCACGCTTCTTACGATGAAGCAGAAGCTTACGGACACGCTACAAGGTACAGCAGAAATTGCCTAGAGTTGAACAGCTTCCTACCAAAGATGGCTTCAGCGCAAGGAGTCTCTACCACACATGGCCTAAACTGCTTTCTGCAAAGCGGCAGAGAATCCCTACAACGCACACCTTAAACTGCCGAAGACAACAGCAATCCGGACTTAAGGCTTTTCCCACCAAATACGTCCTGCTCTGGCTAAAGCCGCACAAACCCCTAACCTGTAGTCTCCATTGTGGTTCCTTTTTTGGTTGCCCACTCTTATGGTTAGGATCCTAATAATAGAAACTTGGTTGAACCAAAACAGGAACTAGAATGGAGACTATAGGAAGATATGTGCATAGGCACAGATACCCTATGTACCCAGAAAACAAACCCTTACATCGAGAACAACGCCAAAGCGGCCAGACATGCGCTTGTAGACGTTGTCGCGGACTGCCTGTTTCAAGTGGAAGAAACACATCACATTGCCGGCTCCATAGACGTCGGCCAATGCACTGCGATAGGCCACTTCGGCATCGGACATGGCAAAGAGCTTGTTGGCAAATTTTCCAGTGATCTTCGCGGTGGCTTCTCGGAAGCCCTCAAGCATGTCTGAAACATGACCATGTTCCATGGTAGACGTCAAAGCCAGGCAAGCGATGCCGAACTCGCCGGCTGGGTTGATGCAACCGAACACATGAAGAGGCCAACCCAACAGGTTGAACTTAAACCCTCCGTCAATTGCAGCAGGGCACTCCTTTGCATTCACGAACCGACGCTGCAAGAAAGGAGTCGTCGCAATGACCGTGGCGCGGTACTTGTTTCCATTCCGCTCTATCTTGGAATGGCAGATGTAACCTGTCATGGCATCCTTGGGGACAGCCGAGGCCTTGGCAACAAGCTCTCGGAACTGCCCAACGGTGCGAGAACGGAACCACAAGCGGGAGAGTGCCTTACGCGGTCTTTGGACTTGTTTCAACTGGGTCTTCTTGACAGGCTTCTGCTTGTCTAACCTTGTAGCACGAAGCGCCGCTCGCGGCTTCGAGGTTGCTGAGGACCCTAAGGCCGCGGTCAGTGCTTGTCGCTCTGCCAAGCTTGCAAAGCCTCGCTTGCCTTTAGATTCCAGACCCTCGATGTGCTTGTTCCACATGGAAGGATGCTCCCATAGCTCCGCAGTCCCATCACTTTCCTGGCGAAGTAGCGCTGCCCAAGTACAGCTGGGACGTAAACGACAACGGAGGTGGGTCAACTTGCCGTCTTTCTTGACAGCCCGAGCACAATGGCTCAAGCACCGCAGTCCGACTCCTAGCTCTTGGAATGCATCTTCCCGAGTCGCATACGATTTCACAAACTTGCTGTACGCACTGCCCTCGAAGACAGCAGCGGCATTGCTTGCCGGTCGTTTCATCGAATGATGTTTGTTTGTTGTGTAGTTCTGAAAGGGCTCGAAATTGTAACGAAAGTGTCCGCTGAGCACTAAGACTATGAAGGAATTCATGCCACCATCTGGGTTTGACATTCGGGGATGACAAATGCACCTGTGATCTCTGAGCATTGTGCATCTTCGTTCAGTGGCGCATTTCAAGCGCATACTGGCTGTGGTTTCTGATGTGTGGGAATATGACACAGCTCTTGTTAGTGTTGGTGATGGTGACAGTGGCTGTGGCTGTGTGGAGGCGGCGGTTTTGGTGGTCTCGGCGCTGTTTGTGGTGTTGCTGGTGTTTGGTCCGTCGGCCCCTCAACCTAGTAGGGAACACTGGGGGAAACCACACCAACCCGACACGGGTCCTACGTCAGAAGGGGTGCCCTGAAGCCCTGAAGTCCGAAAAGGACTGGGAGCAGTAAGGAACAACAAGTCTAAAGGAGTACAGGCCAGGCAAACCAACTGTTCTCGAAGCAGCTACAGTATAGTTTAAGAGCGTAAAATTTCTACAGAATGCCATGCGAAACCCGGTAAGAACCATAGAACTTGCAAGGATGCCCCCCAAAAAACTCCTCCCCTAACCCTACTTAGAGGATCATGGAGCATAGTAACTGGGGTTACAATTAAAGTAACTATAGTTTATTATATTACTCATACTCCCGATTAGGGTACGGACAGCCCTACTCACTAAGTTCCATGATCCTCCAAGTATAATGAACAAAAAAAGAACTGTCCAGTTGTAATAGGGACCTTTTTTCAGTATATAGCTGCTCAGTTGTAGTAGGGTCCAGTTCGTGGTTGTAGTATAGGGCTTCTGGTTGTGGTATCGGGGTTCCGGTTGTAGTAGGGGCTATTTCCCCCCAACCCCCCCGCTAACCAGAATCGCCAAATGAGGGGGTGTGTTTAAGATAGGTGATGAAGCGGAATACCAGCAAGAGCTACAACACGAAATCCGTCCTAAATGCGAAATTGTAACGAAAATTTGATTTTCCCGAGCCATAGGTAATAGACAAACACGCTGTTTTTCCCAGGAAGACCAAGGAAAACTTCAGGAAATACAACGGAATCCGTAGGAAAATCGTGTTTTCCCGAGGAAAAACCAGTCAGATCCTAAGGAAATGAAAGAGAATCCGTAGGAAAACAGTGTTCTCCCTTGGAAAAATTCAAGATTTGCTGTATCTGAAAAGAAAGAAAGAAAGGAAGACAGGACGAAAGAAAGAAAGGACGAGAACAAGAACGAAATAAATGAAAAAGAAAGAAAGCAAGAAAGAAAGGAAGGAAGGGAGTATGAAATGAATAAAGAAAGAACACCAGAAAGAAATAAAAGAAATGAACGAGCGAAAGAAAGAAATCAATCCGGAAAAAACAGGCAAAGTTGGAAAATACGAAAGAGAAAGAACATGAAAGAAACACAGAAACAAAGATACAAGCAATAGGATACTACATGGTCCAATCGAATATGCCATAATATCGTAATGGACCATAAAATATGTAGCATAATGTAACCTGATGTTATATAATATACTAAATATTATGTTGTATATATACAAACTGTATTGTACTATGTTACAATGTACTACACTATAAACTAAGATGTTGTTTTGTTCTATGTTATCTTCTGGTATATTGTATTGTCGTGTTTTGTTATGTTATTAGATGCTACAAGAAGCAAGGTTCTGTTATGTCAGAAAATGTCACACTATTTTTGTGATGTCGAACCATCTTATGTCGTTCTTATGGTTTACTATGTTATATTATGTTATAGAGTGTTAACGGAAGAAGAGACACGAACAGGCACGAAAAACGAAAGACCCACCGCCGCGCTTTTCCAGCCGTGTCTTGATTCAAAGAGTGTTTTCGAAGCCCATCATGTGAGCGTTGTGTCTGCAAATGGGGGGGGGGGCTGCGCCCCCCCCAACCCCCCCGCTGAACCAGAATCGCCAAATGAGGGGGTGTGTTTAAGATAGGTGATGAAGCGGAATACCAGCAAGAGCTACAACACGAAATCCGTCCTAAATGCGAAATTGGAACGAAAATTTGATTTTCCCGAGGAACAACCAAAGATAACGTATGTTTTCCTTCTGAAAATCTGAAGAAATGATACGAACGCCATAGGTAATAGAAACATGCTGTTTTTCCCAGGAAAACCAAGGAAAACTTCAGGAAATACCACGGAATCCGTAGGAAAATCGTGTTTTCCCGAGGAAAAACCAGTCAGATCCTAAGGAAATGAAAGAGAATCCGTAGGAAAATAGTGTTTTCCTTTGGGAAATTCAGGAATTGCTGTATTTTGAGTGATTCAATTTTTTGATCCTTATTTTAAGGTGTTTTTTTGATGCCTCTGCCCCAGGAATTGCTGTATTTTACGTGACTTAATCTTTTTGATCCTTGTTTTTTTTTGTTTTGATCCTGGTGCTTTAATTCTTTTGACCCTTAATCAAGTTTTTTTTGATCCCTCACCCTGTCAACCACAAACACAATCACAACCACAACCACAACAACAGCAACCAACGACAACAACAACAACAGCAACAACAACAACAACAGCAGCAACAACAACAACAACCACGACCAACAGCAACATCATCATCAACAACAACAGCAACAGCAACAGCAGCAGCAACAGCAACAGCAACAACAACAACAACCAGGACGACGACCACGACGGCATCAATGAAACTCCGATGAACCCTCCACAGGGATCCTGCGCGTCGATGTGCTGGCGCTGTGGTGCGGTGCAAATTTTCTACGTCCCCGATGAACCCTCCACAGGGATCCTGCGCGTCGAAGCGCTGGCGCTGTGGTGCGGTGCAAATTTTCTACGTGCCCGATGAACCATCCACAAGGATCCTGTACGTCGAAGCGCTGGCGCTGTGGTGCGGTGCAAGTTTTCTACGTCCCCGATAAACCTTCCACAGGGATCCTGCGTGTCAAAGCGCTGGCGCTGTGGTGCGGCGCAAATTCTTTACGTCCCCGATGAACCCTCTACAGGGATCCTGCGTGTCCAACCTTAAACCAAGGGTTGGCCGCACCTCGGAAAAAAAAACCCCCGCCTGCTTTCCAGACGAAGACCAGGCAGTAGTCTTAAGTGACCGCCGAAGCCATTAAGTCCAGAAGTCCGTTGATCCTTTGAGTACCGGTCCGATCGCAGCCTGGAGGGGGTTGGGGTTGGGGGTCGCAATTTTCTTTACAGCAGATACTACCTGGGCCCCAAAAGTATGTAGAATAATCGCCTTTTATAGGTTTTGGGCCATTATTTTACCTACTTTGGGTGGTCTAGGTAACCAGAACACTGAGCAAACAAAAGGGGTTGGGTATGACTCACCAGGAAAACCCGTGAACGCTAACGCTCGAAACGAGCAGGACACTCACAACCGAGCTGAGAAAGTCGCATTGGCATTTTTGTTAGACCGGGGAGTTTGGCACTTTTTGGGTTCAGGGGTTTTAGGATCTGGCGTGGTTTCCAAACGCAGGGTAGGATTTGGGACTGTATGGACGAGTGGTAGAGTTGACGATGGTATCCTTAAACGAGGGTGCTCAAGGGAGGTGTGCACCCTCGGAATGCAGTTTTCCGTGGTATTCCCTAAAATTCGTTTCAGGTTCCCGAAGGATCCCTGGTATCCTCCCTCGTTGAACCACCCTCCCTCGAGGCTCCTACAGGTGGATGGTGTTTGGGGCTTGATGGCACGAAACTCCTAAACCTTAAACCCGAGGGCTCTTGGCCCTAACCCTTATAGTCAGCCCATGTCACCCCACTTGAAGCCTACGAAAGGAACCTGATGAAGAAACCTTGGGCCTTTATTAGGGTTCCTTATATGAATCCTACTATTTTAGGGGTTATAGGCCCAAGGTTTCTTCATCAGCTTCCTACATTATCAAGGAACCTTAAGGGAAGCCCTTTCTTAACTAATTATTCAGGCCTTCAGGGCCCAGGGTTCACTGCCAGGACCACGATTGCAAGTTTGCCCCTCGCCAGGATTCGGCGTCCGAGGGTGTGGGGGTTTAGGGCTTAGGGGCTTAAGGGTTTAGGGTCTAGGGTTTAGGGCTTAGGGGGCTTATGGGTTTGGGGCTTAGGATGGCTTTGCTTTCGGGGGGTTTGGGGTTGTAGGGCTAAGGGTTTCGAGGTTAGGATGTGGGGGTTTGTAAGGCGAGGAGGTTCTTCCTAAGGCTTTAGGATCTTTTGGGGTTTAGGTTGTTGTTGGGCTTAGTACAATAGTTTCGTGGGGGATTTACCGAAGGTCTTCAGGGGCTCTAGATGTCCGGCATTTCAAGCACTTTGGCCTCTGCTTGAGGCTTCTTTAACAGCGTATAGAATGGTTGAGCCTGCCCCAATGTATCCCAAGCCGTCCTTTTCTTATGGGTTTGGTATCCCTTTACAGGGCCCGAAAACTCACAATGAGGAGTACTTGGGCCTTTAGTACCTAGAGGAGCTTAGAGGAGGAGCCAAATGGCTGGACCCAGACTTTCGGGAGGATCTAGAAGGTAGATCATAGGAGGCCAAACGGTGTTTTCTAGGGACTAAAGAAGGTGAATATACTATGACCAAATGTTCCGACCCGTATATGATCAATACACGATGTTTCAGATCTTTGATGCCAACTAGACGGATCGCCTTCTTTCCAGGATTCGCCAAGGGTCTAAGACCTTTTCAATCTGAACTCTGAACGAGCAACCCGGTAGGTCACGTGGTTTGCTCAAAAGAAGGCTTGGACCCTGAATGCTTGTCCTTCCCTTAAACCTAAACCCTCAATCCCAGACTCCAATCTGCGAGCCTTAAACCCTGAACCCTAAACCCCGAACCCCATGCCCTCAACCGCAAACTCTAAACCCTGAACCATTAAACTCCAAACCTTGAGTCTAAACCTTAAACCTAAGTCCTAAACTTCAAGGCCTCATCGGTTATGTTTTGGATTTCGAAGCTCGAAATTGAGGGCCCCGTGTCGGGTGGGGGTTCGTCTTTTGGGGGCTAGGGTGAAGGCTTCTTC